GTTCCTAGTTCCCCATGGTTCCTAGTTCCCAATGGTTCCTAGTTCCCCATGGATCCTAGTTCCCAATGGTTCCTAGTTCCCCATGGTTCCTAGTTCCCAATGGTTCCTAGTTTCCAATGGTTCCTAGTTCCCCATGGTTCCTAGTTCCTAGTTCCCCATGGTTCCTAGTTCCCAATGGTTCCTAGTTCCCCATGGTTCCTAGTTCCCCATGGTTCCTAGTTCCCAATGTTTCCTAGTTCCACATTTCAAATTTAAGGGAAGATTTAGATTTGAAAACCAAGATGGCTGGCAGGTGGTCATATTGAATTTTGGAGTAAAAGTTTTTCAACCCTATTGCTTAAAAAGCATTGGTGGGATCTTTCTCAAGTTTCACATAAGGGTTCCTCATGTTCTTAGTTATGCATATCAAATCATATCGGCTGCCCATCTTGTTACATTTTGAGTTTGTTATCGTTATTTCTATCGAATTTACTGGAGGATTTTTTTCTCAAATTTGATAAATATGTTCTTGGTCCTGAGTTGTGCATGTTAACTTTTGTTAATATTACCCCCTTGGGACAAAGTGCACTGCTTCACGTCATCTTTGTCTAAAATCTAAAATAGAGTTGTTTATGAAAAACAAACAATGAAAAATATGTGGTACAATCACAAAAAATGACCACCTCAAACAGAAGTCATTGGTCAGAAAGATGAAGATGGATGTGATTAAGTAACAGATTTACCTTAAGTAAGCTTTATCCCGACATGTAATGCTTTATCCTGACATGTAATGCTTTATCCTGACATGTAAAGCATTAACCTGACATGTAAAGCTTTATCCTGACATGTAAAGCTTTATCCGACATGTAAAGCTTTATCCTGTCATGTAAAGCTTTATCCTGACAAGTAAAGCTTTATCCTGACATGGAATGCTTTATCCTGACATGTAAAGCATTAACCTGACATGTAAGGCTTTATCCTGACATGTAAAGCTTTATCCCGACATGTAACGCTTTATCCTGACATGTAATGCTTTATCCTGACATGTAAAGCTTTATCCTGACATGTAAAGCTTAATCCTGACATGTAATGCTTTATCATGACATGTAAAGCTTTATCCTGACATGTAATGCTTTATCCTGACATGTAAAGCTTTATCCTGACATGTAAAGCTTTATCCTGACATGTGATGCTTTATCCTGACATGAAAATCTTTATCCTGACATGTAAAGCTTTATCCTGACATGTAATGCTTTATCCTGACATGTAAAGCTTTTTCCTGACATGTAAAGCTTTATCCTGACATGTAATGATCCTGTGTTATAGGAGGATTTGGTGGTGGACGATGTGATGCTGCTTGACGCGTGGGACACTCTTTTTCTGTGGGTTGGCCAGGGGGCCAACAAGGTGGAGCGCACTGAGTCACCCAAATTAGTAATGGTAAGGTCACAGATTAAGGTCAAACAAGTTAACTGCAATGATATAAGGACATTGAGTTACACAAATTAGTAATGGTAAGGTCACAGATTAAGGTCAAACAAGTTAACTACAATGATAAAAGGACATTGAGTTACACAAACTGAATACAACAACATCATGGCTGCTGGTTATACAAACTGACTAAAGTAAGGATATTGAGTCAAAATGGCTAAAGTACAGTCAGAGCACCGGGTAATACAAATTGGTTATGGGTTATTGGTTTAATTAGTAACCTGATCACACTAACTGGTTAAAGGTTTAATTAGTAACCTGATCAGACCAACTGATTATTGGTTTCATAAGTAATCTGATCACACAAACTGGTTAATGGTTTAATTAGTAACCTAATCGCACTAACTGGTTATTGGATAATTAGGAATCTGATCACACAAACTGGTTATTGGTTTAATTAGTAACCTAATCGCACTAACTGGTTATTGGATAATTAGGAATCTGATCACACAAACTGGTTATTGGTTTAATTAGAAACCTGATCACACTTACTGGTTAAAGGTTTAATTAGTAACCTGATCACACAAACTGGTTATTGGTTTAGTTAGTAACCTGATCACACAAACTGATTATTGGTTTGATAAGTAATCTGATCACACAAACTGGTTATTGGTTTAATTAGTAACCTAATCGCACTAACTGGTTATTGGATAATTAGTAACCTGATCACACAAACTGGTTATAATTAATTAGTAACCTAATCACACAAACTGGTTATTGGTTTAATTAGTAACCTGATCACACTAACTGGTTATTGGATAATTAGTAACCTGATCACACTAACTGGTTATAATTAATTAGTAACCTAATCACACTAACTGGTTATTGGATAATAAGTAACCTGATCACACAAACTGGTTATTGGTTTAATTAGTAACCTGATCATACTAACTGGTTATTGGATAATTGGTAACCTGATCACACTAACTGGTTATTGGATAATTAGTAACCTGATCACACTAACTGGTTATTGGTTTAATTAGTAACCTAATTGCACTAACTGGTTATTGGATAATTAGTAACCTGATCACACAAACTGGTTATTGGTTTAATTAGTAACCTGATCACACTAACTGGTTATTGGTTTAATTAGTAACCTGATCACACTAACTGGTTATTGGTTTAATTAGTAACCTAATTGCACTAACTGGTTATTGGATAATTAGTAACCTGATCACACAAACTGGTTATTGGTTTAATTAGTAACCTGATCACACAAACTGGTTATTGGTTTAATTAGTAACCTGATCACACTAACTGGTTATTGGTTTAATTAGTAACCTGATCACACTAACTGGTTATTGGTTTAATTAGTAACCTGATCACACTAACTGGTTATTGGATAATTAGTAACCTGATCACACAAACTGGTTATTGGTTTAATTAGTAACCTGATCACACTAACTGGTTATTGGTTTAATTAGTAACCTGATCACACTAACTGGTTATTGGTTTAATTAGTAACCTGATCACACTAACTGGTTATTGGTTTAATTAGTAACCTGATCACACTAACTGGTTATTGGTTTAATTAGTAACCTGATCACACTAACTGGTTATTGGTTTAATTAGTAACCTGATCACACTAACTGGTTATTGGTTTAATTAGTAACCTGATCACACTAACTGGTTATTGGTTTAATTAGTAACCTGATCACACTAACTGGTTATTGGTTTAATTAGTAACCTGATCACACTAACTGGTTATTGGTTTAATTAGTAACCTGATCACACTAACTGGTTATTGGTTTAATTAGTAACCTGATCACACTAACTGGTTATTGGTTTAATTAGTAACCTGATCACACTAACTGGTTATTGGTTTAATTAGTAACCTGATCACACTAACTGGTTATTGGTTTAATTAGTAACCTGATCACACTAACTGGTTATTGGTTTAATTAGTAACCTGATCACACTAACTGGTTATTGGTTTAATTAGTAACCTGATCACACAAACTGACTATGGTGAGGTTATATTAGTAACCTGATCTCACAAACTGACTATGGTGAGGTTATATTAGTAACCTGATCACACAAACTGACTATGGTGAGGTTATATTAGTAACCTGATCACACCAACTGACTATGGTGAGGTTATATTAGTAACCTGATCACACAAACTGACTATGGTGAGGTTATATTTAGTTTAGTAACCTGATCACACAAACTGACAATGGTGAGGTTATATTTAGTTTAGTAACCTGATCACACAAACTGACATTGGTGAGGTAATATTAGTAACCTGATCACACAAACTGACTCTGGTGAGTATAGTGTCAGTGTGAGATACCAATGTATAACATGGTGCGGTGTCAGTGTGAGATACCAATGTATAACATGGTGTGGTGTCAGTGTGAGATACCAATGTATAACATGGTGCGGTGTCAGTGTGAGATACCAATGTAGAACATGGTATGGTGTCACAGTGAGATACCAATGTATAACATGGTGTGGTGTCACTGTGAAATACCAATGTATAACATAGTGTGGTGTCAGTGTGAGATACCAATGTATAACATGGTGCGGTGTCAGTGTGAGATACCAATGTTTAACATGGTATGGTGTCAATCTGTTTAACTTAAAACTTGAGCAATCCCTTCTAATAAACTAAAAGGATTTGAAATTTGAAATTGCTGAAAAAGTGTTATTTCAGTCAAGACATTCCATTTTGTTGCCTTCAGATAAAACTATGATATTTTATTGAGTATGAAGGTGGTGATTACCAAGACTGAACTGTTTACTTTTGTATCGTAGGACTACCTGAAATCTGACCCTGCTGGTAGAGATCCTGATGCAACCATCATACAGATCAAACAAGGCTACGAACCCCCGAATTTCTACGGCAGCTTTGGTCAATGGGACATGGAACTTTGGAGTGTAAGTGTAGAACTGGTTGACACTGAGATAAATGTATCAGATACTTGCTGTAGAACAGGTCGACACTGAGATAAATCTATCAGATACTTGCTGTAGAACAGGTCGACACTGAGATAAATCTATCAGATACTTGCTGTAGAACAGGTCGACACTGAGATAAATGTATCAGATACTTGCTGTAGAACAGGTCGACACTGAGATAAATGTATCAGATACTTGCTGTAGAACAGGTCGACACTGAGATAAATGTATCAGATACTTGCTGTAGAACAGGTCGACACTGAGATAAATGTATCAGATACTTGCTGTAGAACAGGTCGACACTGAGATAAATGTATCAGATACTTGCTGTAGAACAGGTCGACACTGAGATAAATGTATCAGATACTTGCTGTAGAACAGGTCGACACTGAGATAAATGTATCAGATACTTGCTGTAGAACAGGTCGACACTGAGATAAATGTATCAGATACTTGCTGTAGAACAGGTCGACACTGAGATAAATGTATCAGATACTTGCTGTAGAACAGGTCGACACTGAGATAAATGTATCAGATACTTGCTGTAGAACTGGTCGACACTGAGATAAATGTATCAGATACTTGCTGTAGAACTGGTTGAGACTGAGATAAAAGTATCAGATACTTGCTGTAGAACAATTCGCAATTCGACACTGAGATAAATGTATCAGATACGTGCTGTAGAACAGGTCGACACTGAGATAAATGTATCAGATACTTGCTGTAGAGCTGGTCGAGACTGAGATAAAAGTATCAGATACTTGCTGTAGAACAATTTGCAATTCGACACTGAGATAAATCTATCAGATACTTGCTGTAGAACTGGTCAACACTGAGATAAAAGTATCAGATACTTGCTGTAGAACAATTCGCAATTCGAAACTGAGATAAATGTATCAAATACTTGCTGTAGAACAATTTGCAATTCGACACTGAGATAAATGAATCAGATACTTGCTGTAGAACAGGTCGACACTGAGATAAATGTATCAAATACTTGCTGTAGAACAGTTCAACACTGAGATAAATGTATCAGATACTTGCTGTAGAACAGGTCGACACTGATATAAATGTATCAGATACTTGCTGTAGAACTGGTCAACACTGAGATAAAAGTATCAGATACTTGCAGTAGAACAGGTCGACACTGAGATAAAAGTATCAGATACTTGCTGTAGAACAGGTCTACACCCAGATACTTTCTGTAGAACAGGTTCATTAACTCTGCTAGGGATCAAACCCATGACCTTTTGTTTACTAGTTGACATTTTACCTATTTGCTATAGAGAAACTCTCTGTAGTTGAGTCAATATTTCATGAGATAAAATATGTTTGTATAACTCGGGTTGCGACAACATATGGGCATTGTGATCTTACCGTATGGTTTGTATAATATTGGTTCGTTTACTCATAAGTGCACAATAAAACAAAATATAGCCACATTTAAAATATCCTACAGTATGGTAAATAAATGTTAACTTATGGGAAACTATTGATAACCTTGGCAATACTTGTCCTTGTTTATGGGATGTTATGGTTGTTGGCTTTGATCATGAATTGATACAGAAATGATTGTTTATACATATATGTATGTGTACTTTATACAGGTATATATATATACACATATATGTATGTGTACTTTGTACAGGTATATATATACATATATGTATGTGTACTTTGTACAGGTATATATATATACATATATGTATGTGTACTTTATACAGGTAAATATATATACATATATGTATGTGTACTTTATACAGGTATATATATATACATATATGTATGTGTACTTTGTACAGGTATATATATATATGTATGTGTACTTTATACATATATGTATGTGTACTTTATACAGGTATATATATATACACATATATGTATGTGTACTTTATACAGGTGTATATATATATACATATATGTATGTGTTCTTTATACAGGTGTGTATATATATATACATATATGTATGTGTACTTTATACAGGTGTATATTTATATACATATATGTATGTGTTCTTTATACAGTTGTGTATATATATATACATATATGTGTGTGTTTTTTATACAGGTGTATATATATATATATGTATGTGTACTTTATACAGGTATATATATATACATATATGTATGTGTACTTTGTACAGGTGTATATATATATATATGTATGTGTACTTTATACAGGTGTATATATATATACATATATGTATGTGTTCTTTATACAGGTGTGTATATATATATACATATATGTATGTGTAGTTTATACAGGTATATATATATATACATATATGTATGTGTACTTTATACAGGTGTATATAGATATACATATATGTATGTGTACTTTATACAGGTATATATATATATACATATATGTATGTGTACTTTCTACAGGTATATATATACATATATGTATGTGTACTTTATACAGGTATATATATATACACATATATGTATGTGTACTTTATACAGGTGTATATATATTTACATATATGTATGTGTACTTTATACAGGTATATATATATATATATGTATGTGTACTTTATACAGGTATATATATATACATATATGTATGTGTACTTTATACAGGTATATATATATACTTATATGTATGTGTACTTTATACAGGAAGGTACCTCGTTTACATGATTTTACATATTTGACATGTTTGTATGTGAGAGTGTTTTGAACATTTTCTCACCTGATGCTGACCTTATCTTCCTCAGAAAGGAAAGACGTACAGTGAAATGGTGGAAGATGCCAAAAATCTGAATGAAGTATTGCCTCAGGAACTGACGGTATGTGGGTTTATATGTATATATATGTAGGAGGCACGGTAGTCTAGTGGTAGGAGGCCGGGCTCGTGACCGAAGGGTTGCGGGTTCGCGCCACGGCACGGCAATGTGTTGTATCCTTGAGCAAGATACTTTACTCCGCTTGTTCCAGTCAACTCAGCTGTAAATGAGTATGTGGTTGGGCAGTGCTAGAATTGTTGAATGCTAGCTGTTAGCGCCGAAATGGTAGCTCCATACATATTTTGGACTTCTTAAAAAACACTGATTTAATCAAATTTTGCAGGAAGCCTCCATTGACAAAGGTAAACCAAATAATAATTTTATATGGTTTTAACAAACCAAGTCTTCATGTAGGAAAATGCTGCAAAAATATTGATATATTCCTGATGTATTTCTAGTTTTTTCATACAATCCATATTTTGCATGTGTTGTATATATATCATGTGTAGCTGTTTATCTACAGGATACATCAAGTAACGGCACAGACTTCAGCACAGTGTCAAAGTACCCGCTGGAGAAACTCCAAGGGTCTGCAGATGATCTGCCTCAGGGTGTAGATCCTACTTGTCGAGAGGTGAGAAGTGGCAGGGGTCTGGGGTCTGGGGTTTGGGGTCAGGGGTCAGGGGTCAATACAAGTATTTACTCTGTACATGTCCAATTTAACTTAAAACAAGGGGATTCCCAATGAGAGGAGAGGGATGAACCCAGTAGGATTTGTTTCTTTATTTTTGAGCCACCTCAATCGGGCTGTTGCCAGTCCCCGTTGGTTAGGTATTAGTTACTGCCATTGCTTGTACAAACTTGTCTAGTAAAGATGGATTTTCAGACGCTCTGTAAACACAAATAATTGTATATTTCATGAAAAAATATAAGATTAGTCAACAAAAATACAGGACCCGTAGCTTAGATACGGCGGCTAACTTCCCTGGGATAAAGGTAATCGGATAGTGATATTAGCAAGCTGACACAGCTCTACCACACGCCTTTGACAGCATCCACAGAGTTTAGGAAAATAAGAGTTCTATTTACTCACTGTTTCCCAATGCCACATACAGGCACACATCCTAGTATATAATCTGTAGCATGGAACTACAAATAGCTGTAACTTAATAAGTACACCCCTTCTCTCAACTACCTGCACCCTTATCAGGTCAAATACGGTATGTTTTCAAATCATCTGTATAGCAATCAAACACTTGGCAAGACAATATGGAAGTTTTACAATCTAGACAAAGATATCGACAAGAACCAGTACCTCCACTATTTACAATCTAGACAAAGATATCGACAAGAACCAGTACCTCCACTATTTACAATCTAGACAAAGATATCAACAAGAACCAGTACCTCCACTATTTACAATCTAGACAAAGATATCAACAAGAACCAGTACCTCCACTATTTACAATCTAGACAAAGATATCAACTAGAACCAGTACCTCCACTAATAGGACAGAAATAGGACAGCTGTTCTACTAATCATATGAGTTAGATAAATTACTTATTGAATCAATTAAGGAAAATTAACAGGTTTCATGATAAAAATATCTATATAAGTAATTGACACAAAACCACTTGAAAAGCAGGTATTTTATATTCTTCAATCATAATGGATAGATGTTTCATTTTCAGCTCACATTTAAGCGACTTCTTCTCTGGGACGAAGTTATAGATATCAACCAAATTTGGTTGGTAGTATTCTAAAGTGCTGGGGGTTCAAAATTGTACAAATGGAGATTCTAAAAGTCAGGGCTGGCAGAAAAGGGGTAATTTGGTCATGTTGCTTTGAGCATTTTTTTCTATGGAACTAAGTGATGGATATCAACTATATTTAGTTGGAAACATTCTCAGGTGGTTGGAATTCAAAATTGTACAAATTGAAAGGCTGACCCCCCTGGGGAGATGGGCGGGTCCAGAAAAGGATAATGTCGCTATATTGCTTTAAGCAACATCTTTTCTGGAACTAAGAGATGGAAACCAATCATATATTCGATGCAAGTATTCTTAGATGTAAATGTAATCGAGATACCATCCTAAAACCCATTATATTCAATTGCTGAGTAAATAGAGACAATTGCACATGTGCTTTAGGATGGCCCCACCTTTAATTAAAGTCTAAGACCCTGGGTCATAACATTGAGACGGTCTAGATCCCCACCTCATAACCACATATACAAATGCTGGGCATAAAGTGATAAACATGATCATGATATTGGAATTGACTCCGAGGACTTATTTTCTTGGCCATAACTCTGAAACGGTTGAGATCCCTACTCTGTAACCATATATACCATTGCTGGGCATAAAGAGATAAACACAATCATGATATTAGACTCTAGGGTCTGGCCCAATCCCTAGGGACTTAATTCCTGGGCTATAAGTTTCAAACGTTGAGGTCCACACCCCATAACCATACAAAAGAGACAATGAACACAATCGTGATTTAAAATTGAATCCCTTGGTCATAACATGGAAATATTGGAGATCCCTACCTTATGATGATAGATACAATGGACGAGCATGAAGATGTACTATTACGCTACCAGGATTAGCCCTGTCCCAAGAAATTTATTTGTCATACCATTTTGAATGAGAATATTTTTATCCAGGTGAGCAGTACAGGTCATATGTGCCTCTTGTTCAAAGTTTGATATTGTTAGTCTTGTTATTAAGGCATGTATGATCATTTTTAAGTCATTTTTAAGGCATGTATGATCATTTTTACACCATTTTGGAGATATGTATGATCAGTTTTAAGCTTCCATTGATATCCAACCTGTTGAAATAATGATAGTTGTTATTATCTGTGAGAAATATAATTCTGAGGTTTTAAAACTTATAATATCCAAATGTGCACCTATCTTGTGTGAACTGACTGTATGTGTCTGTTTCTCCCCAGCTTCACCTCGAGACAGAAGAGTTTGACCGCCTATTTGGTATGGCATTCGCCGAATTCCAGAACATACCAACGTGGAAACAGAAGCAAATAAAACAGAAGTTAAAACTGTTTTAAAATGTACATTACTCCTATTTTATATTCATATACCAGTAGAACAGGAAACATGCAAATAAGTATTGTACAGGGATTTACAATCTTACAGTTCACAAATAATGGACAACGCATGTTTGATGTAGGGATATGGGGGTAGGAGCAGAAAGTGCATTCGCCGAGATATTTTTTACTGGCTTTTCATGTTCTATTTTTCTTTTTTTTAAACCAAACATTTATGTGTACAGGCTAATTTCGTGTTTAAACATTGAGATCCTAGGGTTGGACTTAAGCAATTATCATCAGTATAAAACAAGAATTTATATAGTATCTGAGTTAATGCTGCTTTCATATGTGTGACTAAATGTATACTGTCACACAGATGTGACTTAGTGTATACTGTTAAATAGATGTGACTTAGTGTATACTGTTACATAGATGTGACTTAGTGTATACTGTCACACAGATGTGACTTAGTGTATACTGTCACACAGATTTGACTTAGTGTATACTGTTACATAGATGTGACTTAGTGTATACTGTCACACAGATGTGACTTAGTGTATACTGTTACATAAATGTGACTGAAGTGTTTATTTATCATGTGTTAAGTTTAAAGTTAGATCTTATATACACATTTTTGTACTCCTGTTTTTTTTCTATTATTGCATTCCAACATTAGTTCCATAGGTCTAACGGTTTGGATATACATTCCATGTAATACACGAGGGGTTGTCTCCCTTTTTATGATATTATACAGTGTTGTGCTCAAGAACTGAGTGTATTCAATGTTTAGATAGATATATTTATACATGTTCAATATTTGATATATATGATATAATTATACATCTGAATTTTGCTTCTATTCATGGCCAAAAACGTCCTCTGTCGAAATGTATTTTTTTCCATGGTTATCGGTTGTGTAGCACATGTATAAATGCTTATTGTTTAAGCTTGATGGGAAAGAAACTGAAAAAGAAAGGATTTCAACACAGGTCCTGGTGTGAAAAAAAGAATATAAGAGAAATGGGAGAAAAGAGTGTTAAAATGAATTTTCATTTCTGTTTGGAAAATAGTTTTCGTGTATTTTCATTTTACCTCAAAGATGTTATCCTTACTCACGTTAGCATGAACATTTCTACATTTTGCCTTTAATATCACTAATTTTGTTTAGTTTGACTGTTTCTGCATTTCTCTTATATAACAATAGGATGAGATTTTACTCCATCTGTAAAACGTAGGAATAGTAATACCATGAAATCAGTGTTGTTTAAAGCTTGGACGTGACCAAGCCTCCTGCCTCGCTTTCATGTGGAATGGGTCCTGATTACACAGGTGTCATTTAATTGCTTATATAGAGTAGTGCATTGTATTACATAATTATATTAGTCCGGGATACAGAGGGTTTCTAGATAAAAGTTATGTTTCTTTGTTAGCATGAAACAAATGTTTTGTATGACACATTAAGAATTGATACTGTCTTAGACATTAAAGCATAATTAAACAATCAGCGTGAGTTTAAAAGATCTGTTCAAGTACTGTTACCATTAGATCTGATGTCGTTTATAGTAATGATATTGTGGCTATCACTTTATTTTCTACATTTGTAATTATACATATGAAATACAGCTGATGCATAATGTACAGTCACAGAGATGGGAGATCTCTCGACTTTTATTCCTTAACAAAGCAATAATTTTATATAATTAGAGCAATACATGTTCAAATAGGAAATTTACATATGTATATAGCCTTTATACAACACATTGCCCTTCATTGTTGATCCTGTTTTTCATTTCAAACTTTTTTGTTAAGAAATTGTTACTTTTTAAAGTACCTAGTATATATTCATGACTATGCACAATGATAAAGGATAAATGGGTATAAATACCAACAAGAATATGGGTTCAGATTATTCCCTTCATTAGCAATTTTGTGAAAGTAAAAACTCTGTTGTTTTCAAATTTACAAAAGGTTTTATTAAAAACAACTTGTTGGAATTCTGTACCTGGGTGACATAATATCACTATGACTGGGAAAATAAGGGATTCGCGATGTATACTGTTGAATCACGACGTATACTGTTGAATCACGATGTATACTGTTGAATCACGATGTATACTGTTAAGTTTTCAAAATCAAAATTACGTGTCTGTTATAGCAGCAGCTAGCTTCATTTTTATCATTATGTCACCAGATAACATATCCTGAGGAAGTCAATACTATAGTGTATATAGGGAATCAGCCCTCACTGGGCAGCCCTCACTGGGCAGCCCTTACCAGGTCCCAGCCGGGGGCTCTCCTGTCTAGGCCCTTACCAGGTCCCAGCCAGGGGCTGTCCTGTCTAGGCCCTTACCAGGTCCCAGTCGGTGGCTCTCCTGTCTAGTACTAGCAGTGAGAAGTACCATTGTTTATCATTATTATGTAAATAGGATATATGGGGTATGTACTGATGCATGTACACAAAATAGAGGAAATGATATACTTTGCTCAGAATTGTAAAAATTGCATTTATAAGAAATCTAGGTGTTTATTTAAAGCTGTGATGATCACAGTATGGACAACTGTGTCTCCAGGGTAAAAAGCCAGTCGGTTTTCACGCTCATTATTTCAACTTTCTCACTTAGTTTTTAATTTCACTGATTTAGGGTTGGATACAAGTGAACCTCATATTGGGTCATCAAATATTGAAGGCTTTATATATATTTATATATAATTCTTTTTTCTTTTCTTTCCATTTTTATCCAATTTGTTTATCCAGGCAAAGATGGCCTCTGAAAGGCAGTATTACAATAGTGATGCTGTAATGATTCCCGTCAATACCATCAGAGGCACTTACTGCTCATGACACTTACATCATTAGTAAAGTTTGGAGATGTTTCACATCATGCTGGGAAGTGTTCCTTACTGTTAACCTTTCACCCTTTTGTCCTTTGTAATAATGAGCAATGAATGCTGATGGTGACTCAAATACATAGATAACTACAAGTAGTATTGCCATTGTGACGGCTGAAATAGCACTGAAATAGGGCAAACATAGCTCTAGATGAAAATTTCCCAGTATAAGTGTCAAATTTCTCTGTAAACAGGAGCAAAACCTCCCAATTTAATGAACAAAAATTTCACAATATGCAGTATTAATCACAAAACCAGCCTTAAGTACAGTATTTCACAATAGGAAGGATTTTTTATATCAAAGCTATCGAAAACACAACCTGAAGTTAAAGTTGAAGACATTTCAGTGGGCTATATGTAGGCTTGTTATCTGTATAGTTCTGTACAATATGTGTCCAACAAAAGATGCTAATAATTTTTTTAATCTATGTTATTTTTTTAAATCTTGTGATTTTTCTTGTATTTTTGAAATAAACATTCTACTCAGAATTAGCTATCATACTTATTACTGTCGTCCTTGTTTGTCTAT